GCCGCTGAATTGCTTAAGGTGATGGCTCGGGAATCGCTCGGTGCTTGTGCGTTCGTAAATATCGAAGATGTCTTTCCACAAAATTGACCCACTCTGCGCTTGAAGATGTTTGAAACGTCGTAGCTAACGTCGTCTTCGTCGTCGTGTCCCACAGCATGGTGGTGGTTGGTGTGTTCCCCATCGTTCGACGCCAACACGCGCTCCGATTGTGCTCCTTATTGCACTTATTTAGATTTTTTCTAATTATCGTATTTAAAACAAAAAAAAACATAGACGTGCGAACGCAAATTATTCATTTATAATCAACTAAACTTGTTTACAACTATAATTTCAACAATCAACGATAATTATTAAAATTTTCAGTTTTCTAGTAACACCAAGATCCACTTATTATACATATGTGGTTGAATGTAGCGGTAGTAGTCATAATTTCCCCTTCTCTCAAGTACTCCAAAATAAAATGGCCGCGTAAATTATACAAAATATATCTATATACATACTAAACAAAAACAAACATTTAACAACAAACAGTAAATTGGATTCGTTCATTAGTTTAATTTTCAAGCACATACACACATGCATATACATATACACACACTATTGCCTTTAACATTTAATCAAAAGTTTTGTTTTTGTTTAAAATATCCAACAATCATCGATTAAGTAAATTAAAATTGAAAAACAAAATTCTGTGCTTAAATTTGTATACAAACACCTCTCATGAAATAATAATAATAATAATAAAAAAATCACATTTAAGCGCAACGTATGTACTTTTGCACGAAAAACATCGTGTCTTCAACAGTTACGTGTTTAAAGCGGAAGAAGTGATTATATCTCACTGATGCTGATTTTTTTCGTGCTCTTTACGAAATTCTATATTGTTAGTTATAATTACCGATTAGTGGTTAAGTTAAGCGAATAGCGTTAATATTCTTTTTTTCTTTTTTGTTTTCGTATATTATTATGCTTCCAAACTTTTATTGAGCAGTTGAAGTTTTATTCTTTAATAATAAATAATTTTCGTCGAAATGAATGCAGAAAGAATTCAACTTATCTCAATAAAATATATATATACATATATATAAATAAATCTGTTGTGAGTTTGTCTTTCAATAAATCAGTCGCGACTTACTTCAATATTCCTCTTAACTCCGATTTAACCATGGCCGGACATTGTTATTTTCTTGCTCTTAGCAAAACATGATCGAATCGACTTGCAAAGCACGGCCAGGTTTGAAGCAGCAGTCACATCTCTCAGATTTCAAATATTGCTTTCAACAAAGCCATTATTTTTCCAAACACACGTAAAAATACGTTTGTTTATGTTATTTATGTGGTATAAAACATTTCCAAATGGAATGCATCATTGTTGTTGTTAAAATCCAGGTGCTTCCCAGTTACTTAGAACCAGCTGTCGCGGGAACAAACAGGAATGCATACTAATTGTCCTTGACCACAAAACAAAATGGATATGCTTCAATCACTTAGGAGTTCGCAAGTATGCCCATTATTGAGGGAGAAATGATATCGAAGAAGGCGGCCCGTAGAAGAAGCCATGACTTTTTGAAACTGTCCAACATATTCTCAAAGATCTCGCGAAAATGTTTAATCGCCATTACCAATATATATGTGTGTACAAATATGTGAATGCATTCATTCCTTAGATATAGTTGTGTTAACTTCATTCTGTTGTTATCCTGGGACAGTTGCCTGTTGTGAACAGCCAAGGTGATGGTTCGTGTCAAATAACAGCCTCGAAGTTCTTCTTAACTTAATCTGGAAAGGAAGAGATATAAATAATGGTCCATCCGCTAAAAAGATTTGCATTTCCGCGGATGTAAATTTAACAGTTCGGAAATGTCATGTGGACATACAAATCAGTCAAGTGTTGCCAATATGGTAAGCTACTGTCGGATGTAAAAGAGGTTGAATTTGAATTAAAGGCATCTTAGAACAACTTGGAGTATTGATTTTTTTTATTTTATTTTTTATTTTTTTATTTTTTTGTTATAACAATAAAATTAAATAAAAATTAACGATAATCAAATCTGATATTCACTCTTTAAATAAATGATTCCATTTGCGGCCATTTAGGCTGCACCAAGTATGGCAGCACCCATCTAATAGTATTGATTTCGAAGTTTCGAAAATAAAGAGTGACAAACAGTGTTGGTAAATGACTGTATACAAATTGGTTTTTAATTAACAGCAATTTAACGGCAAAGGGGAAGTAAACATTGACTCCAGTTGATGACTTTTACAACAAAACTGCTTATACACTGGTAAAAACGGAACAAATTTGCTTTTTACGTTTATCCAATAATTAATAATCAAAAAACTGCACGTTAAGCGCGTTGACAACTGAAATTTCCAAAAATTTGCTACATTGCCATCACTGGTGACGAAACGTCAAGCGCCCATTGCTGGAGAGCGAGAGAGCACCCAAAAAAGAATTGGAAAAAAGTTGAATGAACAAGCGCCGCCGCACCGCATGGAGAGAGAGTAGTACCAAATACAAAGGAGCAATCGCATTCGCAGCAGCAGCAGTGGCAGCAGAGTTGAAAAAGTTTGCGGGCGGGTTACACAAAAAAGACGAGTGCTCGAAGAAATTTGTGAATAACTCCAGCAAAACGAATTTTATTAATTGGAATTTATCAATAAAAATTGGAGAAAAGTGCAAGTGCATTGTGGTAATTGAAGAAAATGTTGTTAATGTAATGATAACTTGTGTGGAAGTGCTTAAAAAAAGACCAAGTGACCAGCGCCAGCCGCAAAATCGTGTACCAACCACACACACACACACACACACACGAACACAAATCGCAACATTCTGGGCGAGGTAGAAACGCCAGATGTGTATTCAGTGAAAATCGCATATGCCTTTTTCCAAATGATGAAAAGTTTTTTTCGCGTGTTTGACAAAATGAAAATTTGATAAATATACAATAAGTATTTTTTTGTTTTTTAATGTATAAAATCGATGCAAAAGCATTGTTTCCATATGTCTCTTTAAATATGTTAGTATGTGTGGTGTGAGAGGCGGCACCGGGCGGCAGCAGTTATTGTGCAGAACGACTGCTAGCGGCGCGTTTACGTTCGAAAAGTATATTTTACCAACATTGCGCATCAACGGGCGGGGCGGTGCAAAAAAACTACAAACTTTCCGATAGAGTAGTGCAATATGTAAAGTTTACTATCACTTGCTGCAAAGATCGGGTTCAAATAAATTCTATGCCCAATTCATAACTGCATTAACTGATATATACATAGATGCAAGCAACTACAATATGTATATATATATTTTTTTTTTTTGTAGTTATGTATACTAAATTGTATATTCGTTTACGCAAAGCAAGTGCGCTTAGCTAGCAGCTTGGGTGGTGTGTGGGTGGCAGTGGGCGCATGTGAATATGTGAGTGAATAAGCAAGGATAGCATGCGTACGTACAAATATACTATACATATGTATATTCAACAGAGATTGGTATTCATAGAGAGAGTTTGTTAAGCAAAAAATAATAATAACTAATTCTAATAAAGACACTTCAGTATTACTACCCAATCCGCAAATGTTCGGCGCACAAACATTTTACTCAGTAAATTACCGCATTTACGCACGATAAACATTTCTGTATATGTACACATATTAATCTAATGTTTTCAACACAATTCCATATGCCATAAATTTTGTGGAGAACTTGCAAATGTTGGCGCTGAAGCTATTGGCAGTTTGTAGCTTCCGTTTATCATTGCTTTTTTCAACTGGAAGTTATTGTGCATATGTATACATACATACATATATGTATATAAAATAAATGAATAAAAACAAATTATTGTTGAAAGCGACTGCAATGAGGCATACTGAGTGGAGGAACATTATTTTATCACAGACTATCGATTGATCTGTTCGCTAATATATACAGACTTACATATGTATGTATGTATGTATGTATGCATGTATGTACTTGCTTACACCGATAAGATAAACTCTGGCTTGCAACTCATATTCCTGCATACATATGTATGTACATTAGGGTATATACAATCATATATGGATGTACATATTTGACTTATTTTATTTGTTTATTCATTTGTGGCATTTGTGGATATTTTATTGCCATTTCGTATAGACCGATCATATCGCTCCAATGTGCAATGCCTTTGGAATGCATAGCTCTTCACATCGTTACATATTCGTAACGTACTGAAAACTTACTGACTTTGTTTGTTGTCGGCTGTTCAACCCTTCAAGCTTTTAGGTATGGGGAGGCTAAAGTCGCCAATTGCAAAAAACTAATCGTCCRCATGGAGCATGGTAAAAACTTGATAAGCGTCTCGCCTCCATTTGGTTGGAATTTTATGTTGATACAAGCATACATRTGTATTTGTAACTTATACATACATACAAATGTATTTACTCAATATCAAAGTTGAGATAAGTGTAAAATTTTGCATAAAATATATATAAATACTCGCATGCTGGCATATGTATGTGTATATGTACTTAGTCCTGCCATAAGTTCTGTTACAAGTTCAGACCGTTATTACTATGATATTACTATATATTTTTTTACACACACACAACCAAACGATTCGGCCTTTGTCAAAGCAGCATGAACAGTTTCTATTGGTAATGAACACGTTGTTCCGACAGTCGGGTCTACGTAACCGAAACGGACACGAATTTTTTTCTGGATAAACACTGTCAAATCGTCAGCATTCCTACCATTTACATCAGAAACAGCAACAACACCGCTCACACCAAAGTTTTTTGAGAGTTTTAAATTTTCTGGAGGCTTTTGTGCAGTTTTAAAATCTTTTTCACAGAAATTAAGAAGTGTACTGCCTATGGAGGAGATTTCCCACCATACCGTTATTACAGCTGGATGGTGATCACGTCTACGCCAAAGACGTCGGGCATTAAAATTGATGGTATGTGTAAAGTAAAAGGCTATCTCTCCGACCTTTCTCGCTTCCTCGCTACACCTAACCTAACACTCTGCTCCACTCAATCCACAGTGGGACTATATTCACGAATTGGACGACGCAGTACAGATTTCACCTTAAGCTTTAAGATTTTACATGTGACACTGACCTGAGCTCCTTCACTCCTCACGTGACAATCCTTGGACGGATAAATATCTAGGTGCATTCCAATACTTCGTCCTGATTATCTTGGGAGCGGACGAAGATAGGGCGTCAAAACAAAGGCCATCAAACTGGATAGTTTGCAAATTCAACCAATAACCATTTTATTTTAATTTTGTAAAACTACCTAAGTCAACATTCAGTACAGCCAAAGGAGCATAATAACTCTCCGATACTTTATAAGTTATTTGACGAACGGTGAAACTATAGACCATTTATATTAAACTGTTATGGTATAACTTTACAACCATCGAAATGTTTCGATACTTTTAACTAGCAAACTTTTGAAATCAATTCTGTCTGAGAAGTCATACGAGGGTCTAAATTTCGCATTATCTCAAAACCTAGAGCACCATAGATTAGTTCACATTAAACATAATGCCAAGGAGTAATATTTATTTACACATGTTTCTTGTGTACTACATATTTACTAACAGGTAAAGCTTTGCTTCGAGAGTATCACAGGTGCAATCGCACTTGTTCCACTGTTCATTGTCGAGCAATGTGTCTCAATTGATGCCGCTCATAGGCACAGCCGCACCCAAAGCCGAGTAAGCGGCATTAATTAATCATACTCGAGCACATATTCAAAATAATTAATGTCAACTGGATGCCATACATACATATTTGTATATATATACATATATATATACATATATTATATATGGAAGTGTCGTCACTTTTGATCAGTTCTCGATGAGCGTGTGCGCCGTTCAGCCAATGCGCCAGCTGCGGCAATCAAAGTGACTCAGCTAACGGCCAGTAAGCGCGAGTTGAAATATCAAAAAAAAAAAACAAAACAAAAAAAATTATTTCGCAATGCAAGCCTCACTTGAACGCTATCTAAATGCTGTTAGACAATTGAATTTGAATGAAATTAAGAAACAAGAAAAAAAGTTAACTTCGCTTACACCGATGCTAATACCGTTCACACGTGCATTTTTATGGCATAAAAGAGTAAGAAAATATCTTTATCCTGATTTTGATCGTTAAGTTTATATGGCAGCTATATGCTATAGTTGTCCGATCTGAACAATTTATTATGAGATTTTAGCGACATCTTAAATAATAATCTGTGTCAAATTTCGTGAAGATATCTCGTCAAATTAAAAGGTTTTAAATACGAGAATAAGATTTTCATCCTTAACTTTATATGGCAGCTATATGCTATAGCTGTCCGATCTGAACAATTTCTTCGGAGATTTTAGTAAAGTCTTAAATAATAATCTGTGCCAAATTTCGTGAAGATATCTCGTCAAATTAAAAAGTTTTCCATACAAGAATAAGATTTTGATCCTGACCTTTATATGGCAGCTATATGCTATAGTTGTCCGATCTGAACAATTTATTATGAGATTTTAGCGACATCTTAAATAATAATCTGTGCCAAATTTCGTGAAGATATCTCGTCAAATTAAATAGTTTTCCATACAAGAATAAGATTTTGATCCTTAACTTTATATGGCAGCTATATGCTATAGNTTCAGTTCCTATCACTATAGGATATAGTTGTCATACAAACTGGTCGATCAAAATCAAGTTCTTGTATGTAATCTTTTATACATGGGAAGGGGAAATTATAATTATAGCATCGGTTTAATCGAAGTTTACGTTTTTCTATATTTATGTATATAAAATTTTACTTTCAAATTTGTATCTCAGTCTTCATCCTTCTATCTAATGTATTATAATGTTTATCTACCCAGGCAACTCATGCAAAAACGGCAGTTCCAATTTCAATAGTTCTTTAGACGTTGATGAAGAAATGGGTTTGTATACACATAATCTTATTTAAAAATAAATATGGGAAAATAAATCTACTATTTTATTGCTGTAGACATCGACGTATCACCTTCCGCACAGAAATATAGTCATGGCATCGAACGGATATTGGAATTCGGCAAAGAGCTATCTCAAATGGGACAGCAATTGGAGAAGGAGAACAAATTGAACGATGAGGATCGACAAATGTTGGAAGTAAGTATTTTGTATGAACACATCCGCTGTTCTCTTTCTACACGGGAGGCAGGCTATAAAAGTCTATGATAGACTTTTTTTAATGCATTGTCTTTACGACGATCTCGGCAGAAGCATGGTAAAGAAAATCAAAACACGATGGGACGAGCTACCTGGGTGCAAGAATGCAAAAGTCATGTGCAAAATGAACAGAAGAGACAGTAGGAACATGATTGGAATACTAACCGGTCTCTGTCTGGTAGTTGCACACGTCCGCAGAATGGGGCTGATAGATCGGGAAGACTGCAGGAAATATTTACAACAAGGCACCAGGGAAACAATGGAACATTTCTTGTGCACTTGTCCTGTATTGGCAAGACTACGCTGTAGGCACCTGGGGTGCCCTCAGTGTATCATAAAACACTGGAGGAGGTATCGACATTGCGGCCACAAAGTCTGTTAAAATTCGAGTCAAGCGCAGGTTGAATACTCGTCTTGGACCTGCCAAGTGAGCTCCATCTGGTGTCGCAAAGACCAAAACTGGTCTATGCGTGGCTTATTGACCTACCAGATTAACCTAACCCATAACCCCATATTACAAATATTATACCCTGTTCAGCGAATATTAACTTTGCAACGAAGTTTGTCAAATCCAGAAGCGTGACGAGCTGACCAAATTTAGCCATACGCGAATTGGTTTCTCAATTTTTTTAAATATTGATCTGAAATTTTGCATAACCGATCCAGCTCAACTTCTCGTATGTAATTTTTTTTATTTTTTTTGACAAAGTTTTGTCACAAAATTTAGCATAGATTATTATCTCTGGCGATGTTGGAAAATTTTTAAGATCACAAGAAGTGCTCGAGTTGCCGCAAGAATTGAGAGTGACCGTTGCGCATTTTCGTTCTGGACACTGTAGCAGATTAAACATCTACTTATACAGAATCGACTTTGACATATCTATTCTATACCTTTTGATACTATCAAAATGTACCTGTGAAAGGCATTAAAGCTTTGGTTAACACTTTTTCTAGTTCATTTTCTTCATCAAATTTTTATTACACATTATATTACTGATTAAAATGTTGAAAAACTACAGTATATTGCTATAATAATATTTCTATTTTCTCCAACAGGATGCATTTAGTTTAATCGCCTATTCAAATCCCTGGTCCAGCCCGTTGGGTTGGCAACTTTGTCCCACGAAACGAGAAAACGTATGCACAGCACTTAATTCCGCTATTTTAGGTAAGATTAAGATTATCTTGCACTATGTCAAATCGAAGTAGGTATAAGTTGTCATGTGCTTTTTTGTATTTATAATTCTTTGTTTTCTTTTGTTGTTAAATAGAATAATAGTTTTTTTTTTTTTTTGTAAATGCCTTATATTCAACGTTCTCAGATAGATGAAAATTTTGTGCGTCACCTTAATTATGTTGCAGTTTTTTTCTTAAAATATTTAATATTCATATACATATCTCTTATCTTCCAGAATCGATGAACTATCCACGTCGCCCGCCACTTGACGTGTGCGTAGCGCACGCCGCTGAATTGCTTAAGGTGATGGCTCGGGAATCGCTCGGTGCTTGTGCGTTCGTAAATATCGAAGATGTCTTTCCACAAAATTGACCCACTCT